ATAAGATCCTCCATTTACCTCTGTCTCGAAAAGTGGTATGGTGTTGGAGAATGGAGTGTATGGCATCTTCCTTTCGGTCTGATTCTCAAACACACTCAGGATCGTCCCCCAGAGATCGAGGCGAACAATATCAAGTTCGTCCGCGAAAATACGACTATTCCTGTCCCCCGCATTCTTGACGTTCTTCCTGATATACCAACGGGAACGAAATATCCGGATGGGTTGATCCTCATGACCGAAATCAAAGGCATAACACTGGCACAGTGGCTCCGTGCAAAGACTACATACCCTCTCGAGTCTGACCATTATAAGGTCCTCATCTTTGGTCCCCCCCCCACCTCCGCAGCGGACGTAGTCTCAGAGAGCTATCCGATCTTATGGAATCCTTCAACAGACCTGTCCTCGATCTCTCAGATAGTGCGCAGCTCATTGCCGACCTGAAACAGGCTGTTACTGAACTTCGCTCCTTCCTGCTCCTCCTTCCAGTGAGGTTTCTGGCCCTTACGGCTCACCATTCGTACACATACGCTGCAGAGATCGTTACGTCGTGCTGCCGCTAACGAATATCCACGCTTTTCATGACATGTTACTTGCAAATGTGTCTTGGGTAAGCCGCATGCCTCGTCTCCTCCAGTTAGCGTCACCTGTATACGCCAAACCACATAAACTGTGCTTCTCGCACTGTGACTTCAACGAAACTAACATCCTCGTCGCTGAGGACGGCCGATTGGCTGCTATTATTGATTGGGAAGCTGCTGGATGGTTTCCTGAGTATTGGGAACAAATTGGGAATACACGACGAGGGAGATGCAGAGTTTGGACTCTGAAGTTTTGGCCACGTTTTGGAAAGCGGTTGGTGTATTTGAGAACGGGTGCTATGACAAGGAGCTAGAACCAGAGCGGGCGCTGTGGCGTAGCACTGGTGATACGGCTATACCTCCGGGTTTCTGGCCCGATGACCCTCTCGACAGACCTCTTCACGATCATAACGATGTCATATGGTAAGCCTCTATGTTCGTTTTGCTCTCTGATGTCCTCACACCTCGACAGATTCAATACGTTAAATGTGATCAGACGCAGTTGTAGACTGCTTCTCTAGTGCGGCCAATAGTATCAACCAAAAGTTGTTCTAAGCAGACGGTATCGAATGAACGCTGTGCTGAGCGCTCTTCCGGGGACTCCAGGACCCCACTGAAAATTATGCAGAGCGGAGGGTTGTACACTGCGTTAGAATCAGAGGGTACCGGGGGAAGAAGCGCGCACATATAATCCCAGATTCGAAGGTGAACGTTGGACGTTTTAAACAACGTACGGAAAGACGAAAGGCAACCCAAGGACTTGGGGAAGAACTTGGACACAGTTTGCTGTTTTGGATAGCTGGCCGTTGGACTGAGGTAACTGAATACGAGAGACTTGTATGTCCCTGAGAGCTTCTAAGCGGTCCAGATTGAACAGGGACAACCCAGTCCTATGGCTCACGTCCCCTCGGCAGTACCGTTACTATCAGGAAACAGCGAGAGCAAGGAGTTTAACAGATCCTTTCCAAGTCGAAAGGAACGCAGAAAGTGGGTATACGCATTTGTAGGGAGGCACAACGAAATCCGATTCCGTCTGTCCTGCCTAAATATAAGTTAGTGCACATGGTTGCAAGTACGAAGTTGAAAAATAGTCTTATCCGACTACTCTCGTCAGTCTCGTCCCAGTTGTGATGAAATTATCAGACGAAGCAACGAGTGTAAGTACCATCCATGGTAATGAGACCACACCATCAGCACCCGCACCTATCAGTGAGAAGAAAAAAATGAAGGAGCGAGAATGACAATGACAATGATAAACGTGTATCTCCAGTTCCATAGACTCGTCTCCGCCCAACTCTCCGTTGACTAAGTCGGGCTTGGATATGCGTTCATAGAATTAGAGAACGTTTAACAAACGAGTAGGAAGGCAATGAGAGAAAAGGCGTGGTTAGCAGGTTCGCACGCGTATTAAGCTCCTCGAGCATTAACTTTTGTTCGCATATGAGTTGACTAAATACATACAGGTAGTGCTATTACTTGAAGAGATTGCGCATTCGTCTCGGTCGCTGTGGAAGGTCGAAAGGCGCAGCGTGAGGACCTCTTCCTTTCATCGCGAGACTTCCAACGTCTTCTTCATGTCCATCAAGATCTTGTCAATCTCCGCGATGCACTTGTCCAGCAGACCTTGGAGCTGCCTAAGAGTGAGCGTACGGATCAGAAGGAAACGCAAAGAATCCGCATCACTTCGAGCTCAACAGACCGTTTTTCCCTTTTTTCACGCTCATCTAATGCAGCTTGCGACACTGCACGTGCGCCCCTCTCTGCAGCAGCGACGACCAACGACTTGGCATTAAGCGTCGGCTTGGGCGCGGGGATCCTCTACGTCCGTGTATCCTGCCTCTGGGCGTGATGGAAGGTGTTTTAGCATCATGCTTGAGGTTCTACTACTATGATTAGCTAAAATCAACGAAAAGCTGAGAGATTCACGTCCTCATCGAATACCGTCACTATAAGCATACTCCCATCTCGAACACCGACCGTGGCGACCTCTTCCAGTTTCTGACTTTGGACGCGGACGTTAGCGAGTAGGGCAGGCGTCACTCGTCCAGAAGCGCGTATAGAGGCATTAGCACAGTCCCATCTTAGCCAGTCGATCTCTGATTTCATTTTCTCTTGGCATTTATCGTGCTCGGCAATGTCGGTTGGGTTGGTGAGTGGTTGTTGGGAGCCTGGTTTTAGGGAGGTCGTTGACTAGGCGTTTTTCAGAGTAGTTTCTTTGTTGGTGGGGTATCCATGTTATTAGAGGCCTTATAGAAGGCTTGGCTTCCTTTACGACGAGGTATCGGGACAAGGAGATACGAGAACGGAAGAGGGTTTGCATTTTGGGCGCTTGTCAAGGATCCGTCGGATGATCGGCCCGATAACCGAGCCTTTTCCTCCAACCACGATGGCACGACCTACGCACTGTAAGTGTATCCGTCTACGCGCTAATCCCAGCTCACCCTTTGCAGTTCTGTCAATTCCTCTCGGCCAAACACACCCGACCCTCCGTGCCCGGGTTGCTGATCTCCATGCCGCCCTCAACCTTCCTACACTAGACTGTTCGCTACTTGCTGGTCCTCAGCGCGTACATCTCACCCTCGGTGTCATGAATCTCACTTCCGAAACCTTACCAACTGCACTCGACCTCCTGAATCGCCTCCCAACTCTCCTCCCGCTCACAGACATGGCCCCGACCGTTACCCTTGACACGCTCGATGTCCTCAGAAGGGAATCCCGCCGCCGCGCTCACGTCTTATGGGTCGGTCCATCTCAACCCATGCCCTTGTTCAGCAGGATCAACGAGATCTTCCGTGAAGAAGGCTTCATCACCGATGCGCGTCCTCTAAAACTACACATGACGCTCATGAACAGCACCTACAGACGACCCAGGACAAAACGCCCTCAGCCGTTCGACTATGATGGTATCCTGCGGCAGGATGGTGTGTTGGAATGCTTGGGTATCCAAGATTGCGAGTATGCTGAGCGCCCGATGGCAATCACCATGGGTTCATATGACGCACCGAGAGTTCACCTCTGTGAGATGGGAAGCTGGGATACGGACGGCTCGTATATTAGCTGTGGGAGCGCGCAACTGTCGACAGCAATCGTTTAGGCTGCTGATATGTTGCCTTCCCTTTTCTTATCCTTTTGGAATGTCAGTGGCATTCTCCATCGTTTCTCCCTCTCCTTCTGAGCGTACTGCTACTAGATCGGCGTAGCCAACACATACGCGTCAAGCTCATACCCTTTCGATTGGTGTACTCAATCTGACAATGAGTGTTGTTCCGTCAGCAACATCGCCATCTGTACACATCTCAGCGCCTGGCATGTTGCAAGTTCGTAAATCACGTTTAGTGGATTTGCGTCGTGGCTGATTTGGAGAAGGAAGAACGATTTCTGTTTTGCTGGCCCAAGTATGATACAGTGTCCAAACCTTCCCGCCATGTTCTTGTCAAGCTCCAACTCAGGATTACGAGCCCTCGCAGAATATAGACTTCGTTCGAGAGAACATTGATTGATGCATGCACCAGAGAACAAAGATCCAAAATTTCTCCCCGAAATGCCAGAGGACACAGCTGCGTGCTGGTGTACGCCAACCGCCACCACAAACGTCGGAGTAAAGGTAAGAGTATCTTTCTTATACCAGGTCCCTAGCACTGAAGACTCCTCTCAAGTTCGTTCTACGTGATGCAGCTGTTCAGTTCCCTCTCATCCGTCCTCAAAGTATGTATGACGATCCTCTGGCGGCCAAGGCTATGTTTTCTTGGATGCATCTGACAGACCGTACACCTTCATATTTCGGGATCCTGGATCGGCGTCTGAGACGGAAACGCATATCATCTCCCTTTCGGCCCCGCGTCCTTATGTGCATCTCTGAACGACTTCCAGGAATCGAGGCGAACAACCTCAAGTTCGTTCGTCGTTCGTCGTTCTCGTGAAAACACAATTCCCTACGTTCTTGACGTCGTTCCTGAAGACGATCCTGGGATGCCTTCGTCGCCGGGGTTGATCCTAACATGGGAGACCAAACTTGAAGGTGTAGTAACGCTTCAAGGCCAGGACTAGGTATCCGCCTGAGTGTTATTACTCATTTTTGGTCTTTTCATTGCCGCGGCAAGTGAAGCTGGCCCAACCCTTCGATAAACCCGCTTCCGATCTCTCAGATAGCCAACGGCTTATCGAGGACCTGAGAAAGGCTCTCACTGAACTTCGGTCTATCATCCCTCTGACGTCTGGTGGGTACACGCGGCTTACGCTACTAAATTGCCGCGCTTTCTATGGAAGGTTACTCACGGGAGCAGCGACTACTTACATCATATATGCCCAAGCCGTTTACCCTCGACTAGGTGTAACCCACCACGGAGCAAAGAGACTGACTGAATCCACTTCGTGTTCCAAGAGGAGCGCTACAATCGATGGAGGTTGCGGAGTGAGATGCTCATGTGGAGCCTCACACTACGATATGGATGGAGGTCCCCGAAGAATGAGAAGATGGGATTCATCTGGTTGAGGAAAGCAGCTGATCTCGCACTAGGTGTGCTTGACCATTAGTAAGGTATGGGCGGGAAAGAAGAAATCAAGAACGAGCTGGTCCTCGCAATGTACGGAGTTGGGCGGTGTTTCTTCCCTGGCTGGGGTGACCAGAAGAATGTTGTGGTGAGTTATTCGCGTTCATTTCATTTTTGGGTTGTCGCGTGCTGATTGGAGGCTGGAACGATAGCAACTGTTGCCCTGATGCGCAGAGTGATTTGGCGTTCTTCCTGGCGAACAGGAAGGGATGTAAACACCACGAACATACTCCCGTCTCGAACACCGACCGTAGTGACTTCTTCAAGTTTCTGTCCTTGGATACGGACGTTGGCGAGTAGGGCAAGCGTCACTCACCCAGAGGCGCGTGCAGAGGCATCAGCTTAGTCCCGTCTGAGCCACTCTACCGCTGACTTCATTTTCTCTCGGCATTTGTTGTGCTCGGCGATGTAGGCTGGATTGATGAATGGTTGTTTGGAAGCTGGTTTGAGGGAGGACGTCGAGTGAGCTTGTTTAGCATAGGTTCGTCGTTGGGCGAGGGATGCTCTTGTTATTAGAGGAGTGAAGGTTTGGCTGCCCTTATGACGAGGTGTCGGGAACAGAAGAAACAAGAACGCTTGCATTTTGGCCGCTTATTCGGTCCGATAGCCGGGCTTTTCTACCAACCACAATGGCACGACCTTCACACTGTAATCTCCGTGTTTCTGCGCAAATCGCGATCGCCCTTGCAGTTCTGTCGATTATCACTCGGTTGGATGCATCCAAATCTCCGTGCCAGGGTTGCCGGTCTCCACGCGGCCTCCAGCCTTCCTATATCAAGGCCCTCAACAGGTGCACCTCGCTCTCACCGCTTTTCCACAACCACAATGGAAAGACCTACAAACTGTGAGTTTCCGCATCTATGCACTAATACCAACTCATCGCATGCAGTTCTGTCGATACCCCCACCCAAACATACCCGACTCTTCGCGCAAGAGCTGCCGACCTCCATGATTCCTCCAACCTTCCGACACTAGACTCCACGCGGCTTGCAGACCCTCAAAGTGTTCACCCCAGTACACCGCCAATCTCCTCTTCTGCATATACCAGCCATAACGAGTCTCTGCATTCTCACACTACATCACTTTCGACACAACCCGCTTCTGTCTCTGAGGTCAACAACCCCATCAATATACTAGAATCATGTATCGCGCTTCTTCCCGAGAACTTTCCAGTCGCGGCTCCCAGTGATACACTCGCAGCCTTTTCAGGAGATCCTGCTCTCCATGATGATCCTACTATTGCGTCGGCAGACTTGTGGGAGAAGATTTTGAACCGGAAGATGCACGCTTTCCTTGGCAAATCAGATCTCGAGCTCGCACCTCTTGTTCGTGTGGGCGAGAATGGGATAAGCGGGTTCTGTCGCTTTGTCCGTTACTTTGTTGAACAGCGTGGCGTCAATCCTATGTTATTTGATTCCCGAGCTCGAGGCTTTACTGTGGCTATTCAGTCCATGTGAGTTCCTTCATTGCTTGCGAAGGTGCTGATAACTCATTACCAAAAATACAGTCTTGCTAGACATAAACGTTCGAGTTCTGCCAGTGCTGGCAAACCGGGAGAACAGGCCCTATCGCTGCAGTCACCCCCCGGCAATTTCGTTGTCGGCAATGCTATGGGATCACATACCTCATACTCTCAGCAGCTTCCAGTGCCTACAAACGAGATCATTGACGTAGATACCCTTATGGAACCCTCAGCACAAGCTATAGTAATATCAGTACCTTCTCGACATTGTCAAGGATACTTGCTCCCCTTTCCGCCTGACAAATCACCTCATATGTTATATCCATTTGCACTACATCGTGAACTCTCACTTCCCTGGGACTATGAGTCTCGCAATGGTATCCTCCGGCTTCGTGCACAAACCTGCCAATATCAGCTTGATGATAGCAATAGCATGGAAAGCTGCTTGTCATGCATAAAGCTGGGTCAAGAACCTATTTTAAAAGGGATAGAGCTACGTGCAGTGGAGGGGACCCATGAGAACACCACACTTTCTTATCATGGGTTTGGAGAACTTACCGAGAAATTTCATCGGAAGAATCAGCAGATTAATAAAATGAGGCTGAAACATTTGAATATAAAGAGAAAGTTGCTGAGTTGTACAAAGAGTTAGATAATTATAAGCAACTCATCCAGCAGATAGGATGTGGAAACTTCACAAATGCTGAAAAACTTATCCGAACTAGTTGGTGAGGGCCAACGCATCCGCGTGGCAGGTCCGAGTCCTATGTTTTTTTTTCTCAGAAAAATAAAAGAAAAACGTAACAATAATAATTGAATTCGTGGACTAATAACTATAACAGATGTGTACGAAAATACACTGCGTCAGACTCCTCTGTACCACTTCGCGTCCCCAAAGGTTACACACAACTCCGTCTTCGTAGCGCTGGAGCTCTCAGGCCATGAAGCTTGGATAATGGAGGCCCCGGCAGTCCTCGATACACCACATTCCGATGCACTTGGAGTCGATGCAAGTGGCGCTTCCACATTTTTTGGCAGGGTGTTGAGGATGGAGGACGGTGGGTAGTGGGGGTAGTGGGAGGAGCGAATGAAGAGCGCACGAGCCTTGCCTAGGTAGGTGATAAACCATGACAGAATAAGAAGAAAATAGGAATAATACTCACCGCCCTTCCTAGTCTCTAAGATGATGGTGAATGGCCGGACATAGCCGACCTCTTTGTCGAGAAGGAGGGCACGGGTGCAGAGGTTGACTTGGTAGAAGCAAGAGTTACGACCGAGTACTGTGGCGGTGACTTGACAGACTGTGTAACGCTTGGGTTCAGCCGGAGAATGGAGAATCAGCATAGCAAGGATTACACACATTTCATCTCGCATTCTTTCTTCGTCCGTTTATCAGCATTCAGCTCTACCCAGTAATCTGTCATAGGATCCTCGAGTTCCTTATATCAGTCTGCATATAATTGGAATGTCGCTGCCCGAAAAATCGTGCATATTCCGGAAAACCAGCATATGGTGCATCTAGTACACAGGGGTTGAGTCAACCATGACAAGAAGACATGGAAACGACGCACCAGCCCAAGGATTGTGATATAACTGATATTAGTGCAACTCACCGTATTCCCATACCACTCCATATAAGCCCACAGCCCCTTCGTCGTGTACATCTGGACCCTAGAATCCGTGAGACTCGTAGGCAACAGACAACCTATATTGATGGTCCGGAAAAAGAGGTTCTCCGACATGAAAGGTTTGCCAGGCTTCCAAGCAATGGTCCTTTGCCGATTCTTCATGCTTGCAATCTTGCGGTACCATCACTGGAAGGGTGAGAATCCGTGCCGCTCAATGGTGATCTTTTTCTTCTCGAATAACACGTCGTCACGAAGAGTCTCGATCTTGGAAGCAGAGAGACCTTGAATGCCGGAGATGAAGACGGGCTGAAGAACAAGAAGAGAGAAAATAATTGAGTGCCAATCGGTAAAGAACAGATGGACGGACGGGAAAAGATGGGAATAATGAGAGTAAGTAGAGGCAAATGAATAGAAAAGGTTCCCACGATGAGCTCAGGCAGCGAGGACGGCAATTGCCGTGAATGAATAGAAATATTCCCATGGTTTGCTCAGGTAGCAAAGTCGGCAAATGCCGTGATGGATTGATACCCCAAATATATTTTTTCCCATGATCAGTTCAGGACAGCATAATAACCGAGTATCCTATATACATAGGACTCGGAATTGCCTTGAAGAATAAGAAGGGGATAAAGAGAATCTTGGACTTGTACAAGGCAGCTTCACAAGGTGTATACCATCCAAAATCATTCACAGAGGAAGAGGAAATGCTAGCAAATTTGATCTGGAGATTAGGAGGTATACGTCTTGCAGAAATTGCTCACCGTGCACTTGGTCTTCCTAGCATGACTACTATTCGGCATCACTCAACTGTTCCTTCCATCATCCCTTCATATGGCCAACCTTCACCCACTGAAATTGAGAAGAATATTGCTGCTTGCTTTGAGAGCATCCTTTCAGTCCTCCAGTCTCTTCCTGCAGGTGTTCTTCAAGTTATTTTGATGTTTGATGAGATAGCAGTTGAGAAGCGCCTTCGATGGGACTATTCAACAAACATGTTCATGGGGCTATGTCGGGAGCACTCACACAATGTTGATCTTAAGTTCAAAACCAGTGAATCAATGGATGAGATGTTTAAGGCTATTGACAATAATGAGGTTCACTATGCATCTGAGGTAATAACTTTCTCAGTCACTTTTTAAGCCAATGCTCACTTAAATTATACAGGCTACTGTTGGTGCATTATCAATTCTGAGTAATGATAAAAGACTTTATGCAGCCCGTCCAATTCTTGTATCTGGAACATGCAAGAAAGAGAATGCTCTGGAGCACTGTACTTATATTCTCAAGACTGTTCTAACTGCTATCAACCATCAGCAAACAATCAATATGCTTCACTTAGTCTCTATTGCTTCAGATGGGGAGCCAAAATGTGGAGGAGCATTGGTGCTTCTTACATGCAAGAAGGAACTTGCTTTGGACTCTTCTATTTATGAATATCTTTCCCCATGTACCCTGCGCTTCGTGAATTTCCTTGTAGGAGATAATGACATTACTGCTGATAAGGATTATAAACATGTATTCAAATGGCTTCAAAACCTTTTCATCAGGTTACGTGGTGTCTCTATTCTTGATGTACATATCACACCAACAATGATTCAATCACATCTTCGATCTGAAGGTCATTCAGAGGCTCATATATATGAGCTATTCAAGCCAAATGATAAACAGAATGTTGAACTTGCATATAAGCTACTTAAAGATGTATGGAGTCTTCCTGAAGCATCAAGTGAGAAGCCTGGTTTTGCTCATGCACAAAATGCAATTTGAATACTGGGGAGGCTTTGCAAATATATTCTCTTTCCTTATATTTGCATTGACTTAACATTGTCTGAGCAGCTTTGTTATCTCAGTGCTGCAGCACATCTTAATCTTATACTTTTTCAAGCATCACAGAAACACTTTTTTCCTACTCTTTTGTTTGGTGACATTATGATAACTATCAAGAATGTGTATTTCTGTGTGGCCAAAGCTAAGATAGATACACCAAATGAAAAGTTTTACATAATTTTACTTGGAACAGATGGTCTGGAGAAGTTGTTTGGTATTCTTCGGACCATGGTGGGCAATGATGCAAATGTTGATATGCTGCAGCTAGTTACCAGGCTCACTGGAACAACTGAAGTTGCCAATATTCTGGCTAGACACCCAAATTGGGATCATGGAACACAACAACTTTATCTTCCAGCACTTGCATGAGACTCATCAAGAGTTCCTAAAAACGAGGACCATCTTACACCATCTACTTGGAGAGGTGATGTCTCATTGCTTTCAGTTTCACTCCAAACTTGCTAGCAACAAGAAAAGGCTATGGCATTGGAAGAAACACCAGAGATCAGGCCTCTTATGTCTGCTATTGATATCACAACTGATATTGATATTCTCCGACCCTTTGGCACTCTGATTCTCTCCCAACCCTATTGTAACGAGCATGCCGACGGAAACCTGACTTCCACTCAATCCAACAAACCACAGCCCGGAATCCTATGGATCCCGATTCCCAGTTTCTATTTCATATTCCATTTCATATTCCTTTTTATATTTCACTTCACCATTACAATTTATCAATAGCCCAACATCGGTAGCGAACATGTCATCGGACCCCATCGGCTACCGACTGGTAGAATACATCCTCTGACAACCCTAGAATGTAGACCACTCCGAGTAGGAACTAGATCGGACTCCTAACTAGTATATAAGCCTTAGAATTACACTGTAGATACTCAGTTCGAATATCAACTTGGTTCAGCCCAATCTCTCTCTCTCTGACTCTAAGTCTAACTCTCGTTCTCCAGTCCGCGGAACTCCGATCCGTTGGACTTATCTTTTACCTCATCTCTGCCACTCCGCGGACTTCCGTCCGTATCCATCTTAGGGCTTCGGCTCAGGGGTGATGTTGCTAATAGCTTCGCCTATGCCCGACGCATCCCACGGCATTCCGCTACGTGCACTTACTGCCGCAATCCTATTGGCACGATCCTAACAGTATATTCGAACTCAAACCCTTGAGTCGAAATTTCTTCCTAACCATGTCTTCTACTTTCACTGTTCCTCCAGAAACCAGCCGCAACTCCACGGTCAACAACCGAACCTACACCATGGACGATATCCCTGCCTCTGCTTCAAAAGAGGGTCCCCTTCTCTTCAGATCGGATTCCGCCCCTCGCCAACAATCCCGTAGGGAAACCTACCTTCACAGTGGCTTCACTGCTCGCCAATCTGATGCTAACCGATCGCCTAACCCCTTCCTAGCCCAGCGATCAGAATCCAATGGCTGGGGCGAGTATCGAAGCGACCCACCACGGAACCCAACTACCTCTCTGTTCGATGACATCCCAGGTCGCGATGACGACGACCAAGGTTCAGAAGACGAGGAATTCCCCCCCTCACACGCCAATGAATGGCTGCGGAAACCCATCAGGAAACCCTGGCGGTGGCCCACCCAATCCTGGTGGCCCCGGTGGTCCCGGCGGTCCTGGAGGAGGACCTAACAACAATCCTGGTAACAATCCTAATCCTCCCAATAACGACGCCCAGATCCTCATTCAACTCATGAATGTCCTCCATGGCGTCTCCGATGCTGTCAATGGCAATCGACAACGTGCGGTACGCACCAAGGTCAAGGAACCAGATACCTTTGACGGTTCGGACTCCCAAAAACTTAAAGCCTTCATCGTCTCCCTCCAGTTGAACTTCAATGACCGTCCCGATGCCTTCCGATCAGATACGGCAAAAGTCAACTACGCTATCTCCTTCCTTTCCGGTGTTGCCCTTGACTGGTTCAAACCGGATATCCTCCACCCTAATCACCACAACCCCCCTGCTTGGGCATATTCCTATACCGCTTTCCTTTCAGAACTCCGCACCAACTTCGGCCCCTTCGACGCTGTCGGTGATGCCGAAGATGAGCTTGAAAATCTTCGGATGCGCGACAGAGACCGCATCATGAAGTATATTGTCAAATTCAATCAGTATGCTGCCATTATTGGCTACGGCGACAACTCCCTTCATCATGCCTTCTACCGTGGCCTTTGCTCTCACATCAAGGATGATATGGCCCACCACGGGAAACCCGATAATCTCCATGATATGCGGAATCTCGCTCAAGAGCTCGACGCTCGCTACTGGACTCGGAAATCCGAAATCTCCTGAGAAAATCGCAGTAACCCATCTTCCTCTTCCAGCAACAGCAACAAGGCGAAGGGTTCTAACTCTTTGTCTCCCAACTCCAACTCCGCGAGCCAAAAGTCCTCTCATTCGGGCTCCATGGGATCATCTTCATCTTCCCCCAACAACTCTTCCTCTTCCAACCCTAAGCCCTACACTGACAAGCTAGGCAAAGATGGCCATCTTACTCAGGAAGAAAAGGACTGCCGTCAGAAGAATAACCTCTGCATGTTCTGCGGAGGTAAGCACAAGACTGAAGATTGCAACAAGTGCAAAGCCGCGGCCTCCGCTCGGGGTCGTGCAGCTGCAGCTACTCCTGCCCCTACTCCCGAGTCCACTGCCTCTATTGAAATGGTTCCATCGGAATCAGAAAACTAGAGAGCAACCCTGTATCCTCCGCACTAGGACAGGGTTGCGTTGACTGTCACAGTGCACTGGAGATTGTAACCCTCAACGCTGCTGCTCTTTCCAATCATTCCCTAACTGTCTCTCTCTCATCTGAAGTCGGCTCCGGATCGGAGTCCGATGGTTCACCCATTTCTACTATCCTTTGTTTTCTTGCACTCGTTGATTCTGGCTCTAGCCACTGCTTTGTTGATTCGAAGTATGTTGAGGATCACAACCTCCTTACCAAATCTATCCCACCTGTCCAACTTCGGCTTCTCGACGGCTCCGTCGGATCTCACATCTCCCAATCCATTTCCCTTCCAATCCATTTCCCTTCCAGAGACATCCTTCCTATTGACTTCTACATCACTCGTCTAGATTCATCTTGTAACGTCGTTCTGGGATACAACTGGCTCTCCCGCTACA